TATTCTACCTGAGAGGCTCCTAGCACTCGTCCGTTTGCATTTCAAGCGATGTCAAGCTTTGCCAAAGAAAACCCCTTTTCCCTTTTTTTCGGGGACCCCTTTTTTTGGGATCCCTTGTTTTCTGTTTTTTTTGTTTTTTTCTTGGCCCTGCAAAGGTTGGCTCGCTTGAAATGCAACCTGGAGCCAAATTGCAAGCATATCTAGGGGACATTATTTTGCAGCCACACGCCTGCACGCAGCGTTTTAGACTCCGAATCCTTCGCAGGACGAGGTCAAATGCTGGACGGACGAGGCTAGGAGCCTCTCAGGTAGAATAGAATCCATTTGGGAAACGCCCTCTAAAGAAGAGCTCCGAAGGCCCGAAGTGCAGCTTTGCGACTCCCGGAGGTGCGTTTGGTGAAGCTTCCCCTTGCCAAGCTTGTAGAGGCGGGTGGACGCTGGAGGATGGGGCAGCAGCTTCATGGTGGGCTTGTGGAAGAAGACCCACAAGTTTGCCCCTCTTTCGGGTTGAAGCATGACGTGGTGGCCGACGTCAGGAGGCTGAGCTTTGGCCCACGAGGCGTCACGCCATCCAAGCACAACCTTTGCCCTGGTCTTGTCGTCCCCCACCCTGTAAAGGCACTCCAGCAGTTCTGCTTCGGACACACCCGGGCCTGTGTGGCGGAACTCACAGGGAACCAGAACCTGGTTGCTGCTGTGGAAGATGGGAGCGGCGTTGTTCCTCATGAAATCCTCGTCTCGCGGCCCGTCGGCCCCTGGCAGCAAGAAAGTGGTTACCTCCGGCTCCGGCTTCTCCGGCTCGCTCTCCGGCTGGTTGCTCTCCGGCTGGTCGCTCGCCTTCCTCTTCACGCTCAGGTAAATGGGCTGGCGCGGAGACTGAGGCTTCACGGGCGGAGCGTCCGGGGCGGCTGCGCGGCGATCCAACCACTGCCCAAGATGCGATTTGATTGGGCTGAGTGCAAGGCGACCCGGAACTGGCGGTCGGTTCGGGAGGCTCTGAACGCAGGCTGAGCCGATGGCACTCGGCTAGGGCTTTCCTAAGGCGCGCTGCTGCCACACTGGATTCTGGATCCTCTATGTTGTTGGCTGTCCAGAAGTCCCTGGCGGAGACTATTAATTTTGATCAGTGAGCATTTGTCTCTATATCTTACACATCCATCAAGTTCATAATGCTTTACTAAGCGGGCAGAAACCTGCATTCAGATCACAGGGGTGAAATGAGGCTTTCCTTTTCACCACAGACAAACACCAAACGGGGCCTGAAGGAACCTCTATTAGACCCATTGCGAAAGGTGACTGAAGGCCTCAAACCCCGCTTTCTTCATCCGAGGTCACCGCCCGCGTGCGGCTTGAACCAAGGCCAGCACAGAGTCGTTAGACACCGCTTGGTGATCAAAACCTTGCTGTGTCAGGCCTGAAAACTCCAACCTGCTCGGCGCATCCGCAGGGTTGGATTCACTCGGAATGCGAGAATACCATGGACGCAAACACAACTGGGTTTCCAAATGCAAAACTGCGGAAACAAGAAATTGGGCCTCGCGCTGCTGGCAAGTACCCCGAATAAGCGAGTGCTTAGCAGCTTCGCTGTCAATATGAAAGAATACTGGCTGATTTCTCAGATGTTCTCCCCACGCCGCCAGGCCACCAGGACTGGTAGGAGTTCTGCGTGCAAAATGTGACGAGGTGGCCAGAACGCCAGGACTTCTGGGCTGAGGGCTAATCCCCAGCAAGCTCGACACCTACCATCGGGATGACCACTGCCCCAATGCTGGTCCTGGCTTGATCGTTGTCGCCCTCCTGAGCTCCATCGGTCTTGGGTATTCACTGTACGAAGGCCTAGGCTAGGATCTGGCTGTGTGAGACACAGGTCGGCTATTTTCTTGTCGAAGGCCTTGAGGTTCGACAGGTGTGCTGCTTGGCGCAGGGCCAGGGTGCGAAACACGGTCTGGATGCGGGTGAGCCACCCCGCTGACAGCGAGTGGTGCTCCACGGACACCTCTGGTGTGTCGTCAAAGAAGGCCTGACTCAGGAGTTGCAGTTCTGAGCGCACGGCTCGGGCCGACTTTGCTTCCATGCGCTCCTGGTATTGCCGTGATGAAAGGCGATACTGCCAGGGCACCCACTTCAGGGACTGCCCGGGCTTCAGGCCCTCGTGCACGGCGTGGTGTCAGCGTCCAGCAGCTCACCGGGGTAATTGGACTTGAAGGTCTCTACCAGGCTTGACACGCGTTCGGACGTGCAGATGCTCCAATTCCGTCGGCGGGTACCTGTAGTCAAAAACGACTAAGAAGGACAGCGGGCCTTTTTTTGTCATTTGTGTGGCGGTGTCCCTCAACTTCAAAAGCGGTGTCCCTCTGCATCAAAAATGATGCAGAGGGACACCGGGCCTTTTTTTTATAGTCCAGCGCCGAGACGCCCGTGCCGGAGAGCGTCACCAGCTGGTGCCACTCTGCATCAAAAATGATGCAGAGTGGCACCGGGCCTTTTTTTTAGTCCAGCACCGAGACGCCCGTGCCGGAGAGCGTCACCAGCTGGTAGGCCACCAGGTGGATGAACAGGTCCGTCATCGTGCCGTCCAGGCCCTTGAAGGTGAACCGGGCAAGGTCGCCCGAGCGGGTGCTGACACCACTCAGCGGCATCTTGGGCACGCGCTCGGTGGGAAAGCCGGCAATGAAGCTGTGGCGCAGGTAGCCCACGCGGCCGATGTCGATGTTGCGCACCGTGTCGTCGTAAGTGCCCGCGAGGACGGAGAGGAAGTGGAAGTGCTCCGAGGCTCCCTTCATGGGGTTGTGAGGGTACTGCAGGCTGCCCAGCTGCATCTGAGACTCCAGGAGGCTGTCCTCCTGCCTGGCCGCGCCGATGGGGGCCACGTCCTGCCCCGGGTTGGCCAGCAAGTGGATCTTGGAGCCCGCGTCGTTGTCCCAAAAAGTCACAAACGCGCCCATGAGTTTCGTGAAGGCGCGCGCCACGGTGACGTTGTGCTCCGCCGCGCCGTTCGGGACGCTGGACTGCTGCGTGTGCACCGTGGGGTAGCTGAACACCAGGGACCTTCCTGAGCCGGCTCACGTTTTCCAGGTGCCGCTGCCCCTCCTGCGCCTGCCTGCGCTCGCCTAGCCAGTTGTTGAAGGCCCGCGCCTCCTCCAGTTCTCGGTAGCGCTTCAGCAGCAGCGGCTGCAAGTTGTAACTGGGGTACGTCCTGCGGCTTCGAATTTGGGAAGTAACGCAAAAGGACGAATGGGGAAGATCAAGCTCTTTCCCACGACCGAGAACCTGCTGGTCACAATGTACTTTTCGTTTCGTAAGTCACACTGGTGCGGTACTTGGCTTGCCTGGCCATGCGAATGTACCAGACATGACTACTGGCACAGAGGTCACCTCACGGCACTCAACCAAACGCGGTATTTGGCCGGTTTCTAGCAGGATTTGCCGGACTTTAAGGTTGACTGGTGATTTGATTGGTTTTAAGCGGGGCAAGATCCTCTCTCAAAGGGATCTGACAATATTGTATTGTTTGCCTTTATCTCTTTTTTTGTTTGTATATTCTTTCCTTTTAAACATCTTCTTTTCATTTGTTGAGATTACTTAAAAGATTCTACCGGGCAAATCCTCAATCATATGTTACATCTTTTGGTGAGTCTTTGTGAGCGGGATGTTCTCCCTTCGTCCATCACGAACCTCTAGAATTTCTTGAAGACAGCTTATGACGGTAAATCCTAGAGCCACATGAACTCCAAATATGAGTTCCAGTCCAAATTTTGCATTATGTGGAGTTCGTGTCACTGTGAAAGACTCATGGAACGGTCCAAATGATAGACAAACAAATTAGTGGCTGTTCCCTTTCATTTTGCTTCCATTTCTGCTCCTAGCTCCTGCCGTCACTCCGGATCCAGAATGTAACCAACATGGATGACTTTAGGATGTGAATGAAGGTTGGAAAAAGGAGGAGGATGTGGAACGGGAGGGGGAAACTCACCCCATTCCTCCTTTTCTCACCTCTTAATCGCATCCTAGACACAGGCGAAAGGGAGGTAGAAGGAAAGAGGTTGGGAAAGGAAAGTCATGCAGAATCTGTTGTTTTTGCTTTCCTTTCTGTATCTTTTTATTCATCGTGTCTTCCTTCATACTCGTTCTCCTTACCACATCCCATCATCTAGAAATTTCTTTAGGATGTGGAACAACATGTTTTGCTTCTTCTTTGTGTCGCATTCCATCTCTCTCTTCCTGTACCAACCCAAATCAACTTCCAAGCATATATTGCGGTTTTAAGTTGAGCGTCGGTATGGGTTCGACTGTTCTTGTTTTGTGGCTTTGACAGGGTCATGCAATACAATAACGCAGCACATGTCTTTGAAAACCACAAACTGTTGGCACCAACGCTTGCGCTGTTTTGAGTTTTTGGTTGGGGATTAAGGCCTTTATGCTTTTTAAGCGATGATCGTCTGCCGGAGAACATGAATACATTGTTTGAGATGTGTTTTGGCGGGAATTCAGGAGATCTACATGATTCAAAATTCAGCAGCATCCTTGCCAAAACCGACATTGGATACTGAAGGCCCAAACAGCGAAGGCGCTGGCTATGGTGTTCCAACATCCTGCTTGAGCGGAACATGATTTTGAGCTAGCCCAATTGATGCTTTGATCTCATTTGCATAGTCTTTATGTCCTTTTTTTCCTTCTCTCTTTGCAGGACAACCGAAGGTGTGGTGAAGATAGTTTGAATACAATGGGAGAGATGGCGCGTTTTTTCCTGCCGTGCTTACTGACTGCTTGGCGGATTATTGGAGGATTGAAGATGTTGGGTCATGCGTGCTGGACCATTTTCTTGCCAACCGGCACCAGCCAGCGAGAACAAAGTTCGCCAACGAAAACAGAGGAAAGCATTCTGTGACAACAACCATGTCTTTGGTCCAAGGTTTGAACATTCCCGAGGACCCATGACAGTGCTTGCTAGCTGTTACATGCAAGGAAGAACTGATGAATTGCAGGACTTGTGTTTTCCGAGTTTCCGCAGCTTTCAGCAGTAGTGGTTGGTTTTGCATGCGTACAGCAATGCCTCGGAAGCAAAGCAGCAGAGGACATGGTGCCCGAGTTGCATGCTTGCCACCCGGCGCTTTTCTGCCTGGACCTGCAGGATTGGCCACTCTGCTTGCTGCTGGTGGAGCGCTGCTGATTGTGAGAGAGATAATCAGCTGCGTCCTTGGACATCGCGCTTTGTCAAATGATGTTTGGTTCTGACTGAGGGAACTAGTGGTGATTGTGAATCTCAAATGAAGTGTCGGTATGTCACTATGCCTGCACATGTGACCATTGCGAGGCCAGACTCAGACCAGTTTTGTCCCTCCTCCCAGTTCGAAACTGACGGAGACTAGGCTTGGCAGAAACCAGGAACATGTGACATCACACATGCACACACACACACAGATGCAATTGGGACGGACAGGCCTCAGAGCTCGACATCGCCTTCCTTGCCGGCGTTGATGGCTGAGAATAAATGTACCTGCTGGCTGTTGGGCGATCCGGGTGAAATGCCAGCCAAGGTCTGTTGCGCTCGCGGGCTTGGTTCCTTTGCTCGCGCCTGAAGCAAGCGCGCAGGTCTTAGTTGGGTTCTTTTCTTGTCCGCTTGACCATGCATCTGCTAGGTAGCGCAGGGATGGGAAGCCGCCGTGCTGGGTCCATTGGGCTTGATCAACACAGGCCTTTGCCAACTCCAGTCATGTTTCGTATGGCTCAGACTTTTCAGGTCTGAACCTCTTCAAAACAGCTCTGGGAATTTATGCCTTGATGAGCTGCCAGACTGAAATTCGGAAATGACTGCACAGAAACTGAGCGGTGCTGTCCCCAGTCAGAGTTTTGGCTCTAAAGCTTCCTACCTTGCTAAGGCTGGCTGTATGCGTTTGGTATCATTGACTACCGAAATGCAATTGCCCCAGAGCACGAGCTGAACATTGCAGCACGTAATGAGCAGGAATTGTGGGATGCTTCCATCGCACTGATCTGTCTGCCAGGAAATTACCCAGAAGATTCAGGGCGCACTGTCATCCGTGATTGATCCAGTTTTGTCTCCGTTGCGGAGCATCATACCACCGATGCTTGGCTGTGTTTGGTGCCAGAGAAAGATAATGATCGCACTCACGTGGCTAAGGCTGGCAGGCTTTGACATTTCATTCATGGTCCTTTGGTCTTGAGCTTAGCATGGTGCTTGACTTTCATGACGGTGCTGGGAATCTTGGCTAAGGTTTGTGATTGAACAGGCGCAGTCTGCTGCCGTGACCATCATGCTGGGAGGCTTTGCTCAAAGCGCAAGGTGCAGATCGCTTGATCGATTTCTTGAATATATTTCTTTTTCTTAAGGAGCGATGTCGTACAACACTGTCTACTACTGAGCTTCTATGCGGCATGGTGTGCAACGCACAAATTGTTTGGGCCAAATGCCTTCGCTTTTGAGCCCTTGTGGCAGGGATCCAGCCAATTCATTCAATCACATCTCGGATCCCAAAAGAAGGTCATTTTCCAGGTGCAGCTTGTGTACAGAATTACAATTTCCAGGAGGGCCTCCGCCGACTCCAACCTGTCTCTTGCCTTTGACAATGACGTTGTGTTTTTGTGGAGGAAATCTAATTTTCTGGCGAGACTCTGCTGGGTGAAGACCAGAGCTCAATACGAGAAGTGTCACAAAGTTTTCAGCACCTGCCGCGCTCTCACGTTACCAAGTGTGAAATGCAGAGCTGATCCACAAAAGACGCCCATGTCAACAGAACTTTTAGGTAGCCAGATGGGAACCCCGCACTCGAGCCTGATGGTTTTCCCCGCTGCTTGGGTACGGCACTGAAAGTGGGTACCTGCCTGGAGGTGACCCAACGGTTTCCCTAACAGTTGCACCCGCAGTGGCAAACAATGGTTCTGCGTGCGTTTCTGGCAGGGAATATGATGCATTGCTGGCAGACTTTGGCTTTTTAGCTTCCACTACTTGTCAACTTGATAGCGTGTAATGTCGAAGCTCATTTGATTTTGCTATCTATACGATTTACTCCTTTGGTTAGGCAAGCGCAATTTGAGATTGTCGTTGCACCTTGGGAACCAAAGTGTTCATGCCAAATGAGCTCTCTAGTCGGATCCGCTTCGCTGTCAGTCAATGCCGCTCGCTCAGAGCTTTCCGGAGTGCAGCGTGGCTTCTTTTGGCCAAAGTGAGCTACAAGGCTTAGGGCGGATGTTTGAAGGGTCCTCGTCTCACAGCTTTCCAAATCTGTTGCCTGAGGTCACTGACCTGGAGGTGGGGTGGCCGGGTTCAGAGCTGGGATTGTGGTGTTCGGGATTGGCCAGGCACATGTGCCATGGCCAAATCGCCTGTGACTGACTCTTTGGGCATAGTGCTGTTTAGTTTGACACGAATAAGTCGCTCAGAAAGCAGGATGATAGGCTTGACCGAAATCGCAAGCTCTAGGACGTCACACAAGCGACCATGCATCATTTGATTTCCTCCACGAATCATTGTTGTGCATGTCTCCATCTTACATGAAGTGGATGCTGAGCGCAACAAGAGAAACTTGTCAATTAAGGATTATTGAAATGGAACTTGCAAGGAGAGCCAGCCGAGTCCTTGGAGCGAGCCAGCGGCTTGGAAAAGGCTGCCTTTTGTCCAAGTGTTTTCTTCCCACACTTTGATGAGAATCGAAGATGTCCGTAGTTTTTGCTGCCCATGAAAGCAGGTTGGCAGAATCTGGTAGCGAAATCCTGCTTGCCGCCAAGGCTCACACATTTTCAAAGCCCGCTGTGTCTCCACCACACCACAGGCTGGACTTGGGCACAAGGAATGGTGGCTGGAATAGCATGCCAGGCGCCTCAGCCACTGCCGCTAGATGAGGCACGACGCTTGCACGCATGGTTTCTGGAGTGTTTGTCAGCGGCTTTGCATGACTTGTTGGCTTGCGACTTGCAACTTGCGACTTATGAGACTTGCTTCTTGCGACAGCTCGCCGCACTGGTGCAGCGGCTTCGTAGCGAGGCGCCCAAAGAGGCGCGGTCTGGTGCAAAGTTTGCGGGGGTTTTCTGTCGCGTCCGGCCAGGCAGTGCAAGCCATGGAGGACAGCCTGGCCAGCCTCCGTAAGGAGCAGGTGGGGGCGGCGAAGCCTTCGCATGGAGAATGGACGAACATTTCTGTTACATGCCATGGCAGGTTGAGCGTGCAGCGCTGATGAAACGTAGCTGGAGTGATACGGCCTTTGAGGAGGGTGAGGCCAGGGTGTTCAACCCTGCCAAAGTCGGCTTTTTGCTAGCCAGGCTGGCAATGACCGCATTCTGGAGCAGTCCCACGCTCATGGTTGTCTTGACCTTTTCCACTTGGATTTGGAAAGCTTTTCATTTGTCATTTGCTTGGAGTATTTGGAAGTTGCGTGTTGTTCCCTCAGGTTTGAGCGAGAGCTCGTGTCCATTCTGCAACGCTCCAGTCGAGGCCTGGCAGACGCCGAGGCAGGGAGGTTTCGTGGCTTTGAGACATCGCTCAGCTGAGCGGTGGCTGACCAGGTTCTCGGAAGTGCCATCGACCTTGCTGGAGCGTGCCACCACATGTTACCAAGCGCGCATCATTTGGGCCCTGGCATGCATGTGCATCCGGCGCCAATGGAGGCACTTGGGTACATGGGTACATTCAAGCACAACACCGGATTGCAGCAACAGCATGCCTGCTGCTACATTTGTGGCTCAAGAATTATGGTGACCGCGCAACATTATTTCTGAAGCTGCAGCTTAGCTGCATTGCACCTTCCCCTCTTTTGGAGAGAGGAAGAGAGAGAGAGAGAGAGAGAGAGAGAGAGAGAGAGAGAGAGAGAGAGAGAGAAGGAGAGGGAGAGAGAGTTGCTGGTGCTATTTCCGAGGCCTCCCCGTGCCTCCTTGGCAAGGTGCCTTGCTTAGTTTTGACAGATCAGCATCGAGGGCTTTTTGCAAAGCCCTGGGATTAAGGTGGGAAGGGACAGCTGTGGCCTACCACGGCTGCTGCTAGCGCGGCCAGGTGCGTGCAAATGTGCAGAGTGATTTGCTGGCAACGTGGGTGCTAGGCCAATCACCGTCAAGCCATCTCCTCCCACAACCGAGTTTGCGCCCGAGTCTGCGTGGCAAGAACTCCTGCTTCGCAGTTTCCCGTCGAGTGCTGTGTTGTTTTGCTGGTCTGCGTCTGAGGCCCAGAAGACCCTTACACATCGGAGGTTCGAACCTTGCAGGTGCAATTTGGTTGAGCGTTTGTTCCCGAGGAGGCCGAGGGATGTCAACGGATGATCACTTACCAGGCCAACCCAGCTGCCTTTCTCGGTCACCTGCCAGCTTTGCATGCGGCAGGTCAAATAGTAGATGAAACGCCGATGGCTGGAGAAGTGCCGCTTGCCGAATCATTTTACTCTCGGACCGACTCGGACCCGGAAACTGCATAACACGCCCCGCAACGGTTGGCCTTTTCAAGCTGGGGCGATGCCTCTTCTTGACGCCTCGACGCCTTGACGCCTCGACGCCTCGACGCCTCGACGCCTCGAGGCTAGCGAACATCACCGTTGACAAGCTGGAGGACAGCGTGAAGAACTGGCTGAAGGTCGCGGCCTCGAGCAGCTTGGCTTGGGTGCCTTGGAGACATGTCCGCTTGCTAGGATCAAAACACTCAGACCCTCAACGGGGCCTTGGCCTTCGTGCCGTTCATCCTGCAACAGGCATGATGCAGCTGCAAGTACTGGTTTTGCCATGAGCATTGTGTCCCTCTTGAAGACCGACATGTTGCAGGCCTATTTCGAGGGCAACCTGGATGAAAAGCAAATCGTCATCCACAAAGGAGCAGGAGGCCAGATTCGGTTCCCCATGACATGTTCCAAGAGTGTCAGCCAGGTGTGGTATTCTCTGATGCCAGCGGTTTTACCGCTCTTACAGAGAAGCTGGCGAAGAAGAGCAATGGCGGGCTCCTAGTGATTATGGCCTTGGGCGATGGAAACTCTCCGAGGTGCTGAGCTGCTCTCGCAGTGTCTCACGGCCCGCAGCCTATCCGCTCGTTCAAGTGAGACTCAGTTAGACCTCGTTTGCCGCTCAGGCTTTCTTCACGCCACTCATAGACTTGATTAATGCTTATCGCGGAGACACCATAAAGTTCAGTGGAGACGCGCTGACGCTTGGCAGCATCGCGCTGCATTTTGCTGACAAGAGAAGAAATAAGCTCAGGTGGTATCCCCAACAGCATGTGGTGCTCTTTTTAGTGCTCGCACCACCCCACAGCCCTTGCAGAACCTTGTAGAACCCCGGTGGAACCCCGGTGGAACCCTGGTGGAACCCTGGTGGAACCCTGGTGGAACTCCTGCCTTGAACCTTACACCTGCACCAGAACACCCCGAACCCGGAACCTTCGGAACCTTCCTTGAACCTTACACCTGGAACCTCCCGAACCTTGTACCCTACACCTGGCCTGCGCCAGACCACTCCGGAACCTCCGGAACCTGCCTTGAACCTTGCACCTGCACCAGACCACCCCGAAACCTCCGGAACCTGCCTTGAACCTTACACCTGGCCTGCACCAGACCACGCCGGAACCTCCGGAACCTGCCTTGAACCTTACACCTGGCCTGCCCGGAACCTCCCGAACCTTGCTCGAACCTGACTTAAGACCCAAGCCACCCCCAAATCTTATCTGGGCTGAGACCCCTTAGCTTTCAGCTGTTGGGGAAAAACTTGAAAACGCGATTCGTTCTCCGTGAGGACCATCTACTTTCCATCTGTGGATGACACAAAGTCGGCAGCATTCAACGGTCGTGGCCTCAGTTGCCTTTTTTAGACCATGCTGCTCTCTTCCATGGCTGAGGCATCGTGCCGCCTCACGGCAGCTTTGGCCTAGATGACCTTGGCCCCATGGCCACATCGGTGTTGCGTGCGCCGGGTGGCCAAAGTGCACACAAGGCATGCGATTGATTCGTTTCTCTTGCAGGAAACTGACGAGCGTTGACCTAGGTCAGCATGCTGTATCGAAATCCACAAGCGGCTACACATGTTCGAGACAGGCCCGCACTGACTGCATAGAGCTTCTTGTATCTCTCAGTTGTCAGGGGTGGATGATGTTCGCCTTTGTCTACACATTGGCGTCGGCTGTGGAGAAATTAGCATCCTGCAGGCGCAAATGTCTCCTTTTTGGTCCATGTCACATTTGCGAGTGACTACCTTCTTCCTGGGAATATCCGCGGTTGGCGCTTGGATGGGACGAGCTTTGTTCATTCAGGTGGGTGGCGTCGTGCCTCCTGAGACTCATATCCCAAGGCACCACTCGGACGAACGACTCGTTCGTAGCTTCGCTATTGAAAGTTTGGCAGGATTGAGTACCTGATCTCCGGCGCGCCGCTGGAGCAAATCTCCATTGCCTAGAGCTGAGTGCCATTCTCACGAAGCTGAACAGTGGAAGCCGAGGCAGAGCCCCTGGCGAAGAACGGTGAGACATGCCTCAGTCCGCAGGCGAGACGCATGGCATATGAAGAACTCACAGTGCCATTAAATGAGTTGAGGCGTGGGAGCTGGTCAAAGAGTGCGTCATCGAAGGAAGGCCCTTGGAGGACCACAAGACCTGGATGGATCTGGGCACTGAGCGAAGCATTGCATCTCTGTTTTTCTTGAGGATCGTATGGATTTTCACTTGCTCCTCAGAATGGTCCTGGGCTTGGATGTGTGCAAGTGTCACTCCTTTCCCAGCATGTTGGCGCAGCGTGACAGTGCTTCTTGAGTGTACACCACGTCTACTCAGCAGTTCTCAAGCCGCAGCTCAATGACCGCCCGCCCCCCCCCCCCCCACCCAGCTACTTTGTGCCCACACAATTCTTACATCTTACCAGCCTGGCAATAACTGATTGAATGTTTGCATCTCATGGGCAAGATGGCCAAGGATGAATCCAAGTACACCTTCCCCACCATCAAGTACGCCACACAGCTCTACGACTCGCGCCTCGAGAATTGCTTCAAGCTTGAACAGCTCAACATTACCAGGCTGTTTGCCAGCTGTTACATGGTAGCGAGAGTTCTGTGTGTCAGCCAGGGCCACGGAATTTTGAGTACGTAGTCGGAACTTTCACAGAGATGGGTTTGCTCCATCAGTATTCACAGTTTCCTTTTTGATCATGGTCGACTGCGGCATTCTGGAATTGTCATTTGCCAGGCGCTATATCCCCTCGGCTGTTTTCAAACAGATCGAGTGCGGAACGCTCCAGTACGTGAATGAGATGCGCAGCTAGCCTATTCTTGCTCTCGTGCTTGTATCTCCGTTGCTTTTTTGTATAAACAACTTGCATTGAGGCAACATCTCCGTGATTTTCATCAACGGTTCCGGCCTGGATGCGGCGGCCTTATGGGAATAATGCATAGTAAGGTCGAAAAATATGGACACAGGCAGTTGGATTGTCCTCATGCGAAGGTGATGTCCAACAACGGGCCCAAACAGGCGCAGGAGCTTATGTCTTCCGCCTTTGCCTTAAAATGACGAGAGGAACGAGTGACTGGAACCCACGGAATCCACGATTGACGACCTTAGGGGCTCTGATGATGTCAACTTCAACATTTTGTGTCTATTTCCTTTGGGGTGTGGGCTTAGGTGCAAAAGATATGCTATGCACATGAAGGGACACTCAACAAGTTCCTGATTGACGACAAGGGCATGCTGGAACCCCAGCTGTTGTCAGGGCAAGGACATCAATTGCAGAATGGTTTGCTGACCCGTTTGGTTGGATTTGCTAGGCTTTTCCTGCTGGTCTTCGGCCTGCCGCCACTAGTTCATCCAGATGATCCATCCCGAGCTGTCCTGGCCAGCATGGAGCTGGTGCAGGCGCTTCACGGTGGGAGAGGGACCAAAGGATTTGCTGGAAACAAGTTGCCAGAAACCAAAACGGTTTTCATATACTTGGGAATTTCGGTCAAATTTCTCATACATCCCTTCTGATCAAAGCAAACGCAGGTGAGTGAGTGCATTGATTCAGCGATGCTTTTTGTGATTCCGCAGGTTTTCAAGCGAATGGACCTCGTGGGTCGATTTGGCGTTACCACTGGCCGCTCTTACTGCGGGGCTGCTGCCTGAGTGAGATGCGGCCTCTGGGTCGCCGCGTTCACTTTCCGCTTGACCGTCAAATCAGGTTTGTGGCAGTGCCAAGCGCATGGAGTACACAGCCTCTTGGCTGGCCTGTAAGAGGCTATGAGCCCCCGGAGACAGCAGGGCCTCCCTAAAACTTGTAAAGGGTATCTTGGAAGCACAACAAGTATTGTGTTTTGTTGCCTCAAGTAATGAGGGCGGCTTTCCCAACCGCTGCTGTACACTTTGACACTGCAGGCTTCAGTACAGCACCGGCATCGTGTGTTTTTGTGTTCGTGATTTCTGACGCGGCCACTCCCGCTGGGAAGCTAACTGTCTTGCAAGTGGTCACAATCAGGTGCTGGGCGACTGTGTCAACCTGTCTGCACGGCTGATGGCACGCCAGATTTTGCTTGTGCACTTTGACACCATCCATGAACACAGATCGCCAGATTGGGCTGGGTCTGACATCGTAGGCCAATGCGCCTCCTCTGGGTGTGCTGACGGATGAGGAGACAAGCAAGCACTCCACAGGCCTTCGGAATCCCAGAGGCTTGCCGTGGCGCTTGTGGCTAGTGGCTAGGTGAGGTTGTCTTCAAGGCCCTTGCGCCCATCAAGGCGCGGCTTGGAGATTCTCCTGGCCCTGTGTTTCAGCTGAAGCTGGCAGGTCAAAGGAAAGGCCAACCCCATTTCGATTTTTCAGCCTATGCCACGCGAGGCTCGCCGAATCTTGAGACATGCACGAATGAAACTTCCAAGCCCCAGGCAGCTGGCGTGTGTGGTCTCAATCTCAGAGCCAAAACCAACATTTGGGTAAGTGAAGGGACAGTCCCTTTGCGCGGTTTTCGTTTGTACCGGTTTTGATTGTCACGCAGTTTAGGAACACGACATTGCAATTCAGCGGAGTGATTTGTCTCAGGCCTGACCATAGATCGGAAAATCCGATTCCCGTGGTACGTTCTTAGCTCAGTCGATTCAAACGCAGCACCTCGCAGGTTGCTTCCCTGAGGACAATCTTCTGGATGGCTCGACCCTCACCTCAAAAGATGCGGTGGCGACGGCAAAGGCCAAGGCGCGAGCTTTGGAGGGCCCCGCGTGCCCTGTGTGACCCTGTGCGCTGTTCCAGGTTTCTCACCTTTGCTCCATCCAGAAGTGGCCGCCCAATGTGCGAGTGGCGGAGATGCTGGGTGGCCCGTTCAACAAGGCAGGCCTTGAGACGAGCAGAGAGCAGAGACCAGTCAGCGCCCAGCGCTTCTGTGGAGGCGGTGCATGCGCCAGAGCAAGCCGTGGGCTCCACGACGGTGGGCCGGGTGAAGGCGCAAGAACCACGGAACGAGTTTTGGTCATTCTTGCCCCAGACAGTTATAGTTGTACTTATTAGTTGAAACTGCACAGAAGGCCTATGGCTAAGCCTTCGCATTGAGACAGCTTGCCAGGCGCCTTCCAACAGCCCGTTCGCGGAAGGAGGGCTGGTGGTCATCGAGGGAGTTACAGGCCGGGTTCCAAAATTCCGTCAAAGGGACGAGTGCCGTCTGGGCATGCGCGAGAGGTAGTCGGCCATCTTGAGTTGGTTGCTCCCGCAAGTTTTTCGCTGTGAAGAGTGCTTGCCTTCCCTTTTGTGCACCTTTTGTACATTGCCAAGCAGGAGTGGGGAAGATCGAGCTGGCTGAACATATTGTGACTCACTGCGCCATGCAGCGCTGTGCTTAGCTTGGCATGCGTCATCTTGCAGTGGACCTGGTCTTTGCCCGACTGAGGTTCCAGACCATGCCTGTTTTCGGCACCATGGGCCCCAGGCGAAGGGGGTAGGATGGGTGACACGGCCGGGGCTGGCAAGCGGATCTGCGTACCTTGATTGGATTTCAGAGGGGAAGCTTTGTTCAGCGGTTCGGCCTCGCCAGAAGGCTGGAATGGGAACGCGCCGGCAGGCCTGGGGAGTCGACGCGCATGGCCATCGAGCTGCTTCGGAGCACGGCCGGAAGCCGCAGTGGAGGTCGCTTTTTGAGCCGCATGCTTCTGCTGACGAGGTTGCAGTGTACCGGACAACCAGCACCAGCATTGCATCGGATGACGTGCAGGCGCCACTTTTGCATAGTCAAAATCCGACTGCGCACGGAAACTGGAGGCGCTCGAGAAGATCCTGCCGCCTCAGTATGAGCAAAGCTCAGCATAGAAACGGAGAATCAGCGAAGTCGATGGTAAAACCTTGCAGTGGGTTCAGTTCTGGACGGCTCAGGCGAGCAGCATTGACGTGTTGAGGGACTTGCTCATGGGCAGAGTACTTGCCGACACAGCGGCTGTTCTCGAAGTGGCATTGAAGGCCGGAGGTCCCAGCACCGTTTGACAGTACTCCATCCACCGCTTTCCCAGCAACAGCCGTGTCAGTTGCCAAAGATATCGCCTTTCTCCCCAGAACAGCACGCCACGATTTGTTGTTGCAGTGTAGATTTTGACAGACCTGGACTGGCTGGCAGGTGATCATTTCTTTGCTCGCTGGATTGCGCAACAAAACAGGACTGCCATGGGAATCGCTTCGCCAACCTGAGGCACTACTCTTTTTTCGATCTGCAATTTGGATGCTCAAGTTGCAGGAACTCTTGTCATTCTGCAGTTCGAGCAGGCTCGACAGAGTCACACGGAGGGGTTTTTGGCAAGGAAGCTGTATTCTTTCGATGTCGTGCTTTTCAGGGCACCAGCCTGTTCGAGAAGACTGCAAGAGAAGACCTTGTATTCTCCTCAGCATTGCAGAGCCAGCACATCAATCCGTTCTGACCATCTTCGTCCACATTGGCCAACATGTGTTTCATGTTTGTGGCTCTGGAGAGAACACAGTATATACTGGCAGTATTGACGCTGACCCATGGACGCATGTTCACTTTGCATGGCCACTGTCATTCCACAGGACATTGCATATGGAATACTCACCTTATGCTGCCATCTCAAAGCTTAGGCGATCTTCTGGAGATTCACCTCGGAGCTGAGTATCCTTGTTGCAAAGGTGAGAAGCTAACGATTTGCTTTGATGTCAACACGTTGTCAGCAGACTTTTGCAGAGAGCCTTTCAATCACCGAAGGAGAAGTCCATCTCTGGATTGGTCATAGTGCGCGAGGCATTGATAGTTGCCCAAGAGCTGCAATGCTGCAGATGTATTTTGAGCAGGCCAACCACGAGCAGCAGTGCGTGAAGGATGCAATCGCATCAGGGACCTTGCTTTCACTCCGTGGTCTTAATGACACTTGACGTCACTTGATGCATCGTTTTGCATTGCAGTTTGCAATGCTTGAGAAGTCCAATACCCTCCCATGGGCTGCTTTAGGAAGAGCACATCCTGGAGTACATGGCAAATTACCTGGGCATTCCAGAAGAAGCCGTTCCGCCACCACTGAGACGTTTCGTATCACAGGCCAGGAGTGAAACGTGTGATGGAGCTCTGCAAAGCACGGTTCTGACATGCGTTGCAGGTCACAATGGGCAATCCGCTCTACATCCGAGAGACATTGGACCAGCTGATAGAGGAGGGAAGTCTCAAGGCAACGGACACGTCGCTCGTTTACGAACCCGTCACACGGCAGCTTTGTGCAATGTTCAGCTCTATCCGTGCAGGTGAAGGCGGGTTCTTCAGCAATACTCAGCGCAGCCTTGGACAAGATAGACATTGCAGTCGCATGCTTGGCCTTCGCAAGCATTGCCATGCAGAGTCATGCATCTCAGATATGATGTCACAGAGCCTGCGTTATTGCACTGCCTTTTCAAGACACGCTTGAACGCGTGGACTCATGGTTCTGCATGTACTGCTTGACAAGCCGGTCTTGTGAAATTGAAGAGGGAGGATCACTGGGTCCCCTGGCACATGCCTGAGGCCTGGAACCACACTGCCATGGTTGGCGGCACTGTCTGTAATATCGAGTCCTTGGATCCCATTGAGGCGCCTCCGACCTTGCCGCATAGCTTGGCAATGGGATCCCATGCCGCCTGCCAATGTTGGAGGGCCAGCTAAGCCAACTAAGCCTTGCTTTGTTCATGTCCAAGGCTGCTAGTGACCCTTGGTATGGATTTTCTATTTGTTCATGCATTGGGGGGTGCCCATTAACCATCCCACATCACCCAAAAGCTACCTTTTTGCAGCGCACGCATGACTGTGGGTGTTTTTTGTTTGTTTTTTTTTTCTCAGATGGCGGCGCTGAAGATGTCCACCTGCTTCGAGGGACCCTTCACCCTCCCGGACCTGGCGGCAAGCGCGGGGCCCAGCCTGACGCAGGGCAAGGGAGGGCCAGGCGACCAGGCGTAAGGGCGCGCCGGCCAGGTACCTGCTCGCAATGGGGCGGCTCAACTCACTTCGACTTGCGCTTGCCTCGTCACGAGAGATGTGGCTATGGGTCATAGCCGATGCCTCCATTTAGGGGCGGATGAACACCCATGTACCACCTATTTTGATGTTCACCAGGGGTACAGGGTTTTGACAGCATTCCAGTGACTTCCCACTCCTCAACCCGGAGAGCAGCAAAGCTATGAAGACGTGAGGTTGCGACTCTTCCGAGCAACAAGGAAGCTGGTGAGCAGAGGCTTTATTGACAAGGCACAACCGTTGCTGACATTCTTAACGGCTCAGTGGCTCAATGCGAGGTGTCGCCTCCCACCAGAGACTCGCCTCGGCATAGCCTGGGCAGCGGACAAAACTTTGGGGCCGGGACCTCGGCACGGAGCATGGATCTGATATCAAGGATGGAGGTGCATCGAACATACGACTCATGCGACTCATGCGACTCATGCGACTCATGCGACCAGTGACTTATGGGAACTTGTAGGACTTTGGACACTAGGACACGCAGTACTTCTCCATGCAGAGTGCCCTCATACGAACTGTGGGTGCGTCGATGGTATTGGAGGCTGGGTCATTGAGCCATTTGCAGACCAGACTGGATTCAAAAGCACTCCTCTTTCAAACCTGGAAGAGTGCGTGATCTGAAGGCGCAGCGGAAATCCGTGAAGCGGAATGCCTTGATAGACAGAGTGCCAAGCTTGGGGGTGTGCAGAAGAGGCATTCGTCGCAGACTGTTGCTGAGTGCCGACACAGGTCAATTGACCTGACAGTTCACACGCCCAAATGCAAACATTGGCGCTTCTATCATATCAGGTGCTGAAACAAGATCTTCCGGAGCGCATGACAGAGCTCGCTGCCAAAAAGCCGTAGCCTAAGATTGCAAATGATGCTTGTTTTGTCGTGATAAGTTTAATCCGGTGTGTAAATGGCTAGCGCATTGCGTAACACTGGACACCGGCTCAGCATGCCTATCGAGGTCTGTCCAACATATTCCCTGGTACTACGAGCGAGCTCTTCGACGGATGTTGCCATAGGCAGGACGATGCTCTTTTCCACATCATTTTGCTATGCGGCGTACATTGCTACGTGAAGGCAGCCGATGCGGATTTCGCTGGGGTGGTGCACGAATTGGCTTTGCATGTGCTTGCCCTCAATGTGGATATCACCGCTTGGCATGCTTTGTTGAGATCAACAACATGTTCTAGCTTCGATTTGTACCATTGTGTTTGTCAGACGAACGTTCTTTTGCTCCAAGGTGTCTTCGGTCTATTCTGACTTACTCAGCCATGCACCAATTCGAGATGGACATGGTACTGACAGTGAGACAGAAATCATTACAAAACCAGCGGCCTGTTCCTGACATTTCTTGGTCACCAACGTTGCATCGCTCCCGGGCGGGGCAGTGGGCTCCCTTCCCTGCTGGAGCCTGGCCCGGCTTCCCCACCAAGCCTGTTGCCGTAGAGCAGCGAGTTTGGCTTGGCCTGGCTGTGGAGGGTTTGCTTCAGTCAGGTCAGGGTTTCACGTGTGACCGGAGGCTGAAAGACTCAGCCAGGGGGTCGACCAGAGGACAAGTATCCATGGCATTAAGGTCGACCTCTCAGACCACAGGGCCCCCAAAGTCGGGTTGCCAGAGTCTCACCCGGGAGATCCAGAGCGAAGAGGCAGAAAAAGCCGCGAGTTTTCCATATTGTCAGCTCGAGCGTGTTTTTTTGCTCCAGGTTCGCTCTGCGAGCAGACAAGGATTGCCAAGCATGATTTCGCTAGAACTCTTGCGCTCATGTGGAGTCCCGTTGGTGACCAAAGAGGCTGCTGTCCTTCAGCCAAAGCGATGCAGTGACATCCCTGGGGATCAAAGCACACTGCCGGAGCCACTGAAACAGCACGGGCACCCGAAGCCGCAGTTGGCGCAGCAGTTGGAGCGTTCCGAGATCACGGCGGTCCAGTCACGGGTGGAGGAGGAGGCGAGGCGCTTGGGCCTAGAAGCCAAGCTCTTGGCTGTGGAGGCGGAGCCACCGTACTACGAGCAGAGCTTGGAATGGCGCCGGGACCGGCTGGGCGCATCATCCGTTGAGGAGCTGTGCAAAAGCGTGGTCCTGGAGAACACCAAGGAGGCGGGGGCGGAGTCCGGGCGTGTGCGGTGTGTGCTGGTCATCGTCCAATACGTCGGCAAGCTGCACAAGGAGAAGCTGATCAAGGTGGTGCAGGCGCTGGAGGCCTCCAGAGGTCTGCCCCCCTTGGGCAAGAAGCAGTACAACATGCGGCTCTTAGAGGGCACCGCGTGTCAAGAGATGACCGGCTTCGGCCACAACGCAGTGACTCCCCTGGGCCTAGATCTTCCCATGATACTTAGTGATGCCATTGCACAACTTCCATCTGGGAAATTTTGGCTGGGCGGAGGTCACGTGGATCTTAAGCTACGGCTCAATGTGGGTGAAGCCGTTGAGGCTCTTCGGTTGACGGTGGCAGACGTGACGTCCTGATGGAAAAAGTGCTTCTTTGCTTCCATGGACATGGGTCCAATCCAATGTCAGAAGGACTTGAGTCCTGTGCATGACATGGCCTCAGGTACAAGAAAAACTACAAGCTGGAGAAGGCCGAGGCCACGGACCGGAGGTCGCGTTCGCTAAGAAATGCAAGGCGAAGCGCCTGTGCAGGCGGTTCTACTTCGCTGCACGCGCCACGCAGAAGAGCGGCGGCGCAGCGGCAAGCGAGGCACCGAGGCTTCGCGGCCTTCGGGCGACGTCTAAGGAGTGGTGCGTGGCTGGTGAAGTACTTGAACCACATCTCCCAGGCGCATGGCTGAGGTGAGAAAGCGACTTCGGGACCCAAACGGCTGCGTGAGGTCCGGATGAAGCAGAGCCGAGACGTGGAGGCAAAGCATGTGATGCATGGACATGGAGGACTCACTATATTTCCCACGAAACCCTGAAAACTCACTCAATTTCTCAGGCAATGGAGATGATGTACGAGATAGAGTCGCTGGCCAACTTCCCCATGCACGAGCCAGCTTGGCCGGCTCATGTTGCCTCAGCTTTTGCAACACCTAGAAGCTGGGTCCTCATGCCCGACCCTTTGGCATCTTGTGGCTTTTTATTTTGTTTCCTTTGGAAGATCGGGCCAGGGTGCCTCCGAGTTCTACGAGACTCTTTTCAGCCAAGCGCCCAAACGGTTTTTGGCATGCCCGGCCAAGCGCTTGCTCTGTGAGGGAACATGAGCTCGTCTCTGCGCCGGATGGGAAGAGAGGACAGGGGAATCGGTCGTCTTGCCAATGAACGAAGACATGTTGCAACTTTTTAGGACGACGCGGCTGTGTACTTCATCAAGATGGCGGAGGCACGGCCTTGTGATGCTTTCGTGACCATTTTGATACAATAGTTTTGCTTGTGCATGGGGCTCCAAGGCTACTCACTACCACAAGAAGCAGCTGGTTGGCACCCCAGGATCAGCTCGAATTCTTTTAAGGGAGCACTTCGGCCCTGTGCAGACCTTTAGCCCCAACAAACTGTAGGCTTGATGTTGACAGAACAACAGCCATGTAAATCCTTCACTTGCTTTGACCTTTTTTTTGAAGCAGCCTCATGCAAGAAAGACGAGACTGCAAGGGCCGGCCACTTGAGCAACAAGTCTTGAGCCTTTACCGGCGAGAGCAAGGCCCAACATGCACTGAATGTTCTTTGTTCATGCATCAGGATTGGATGGATTTGTGGGATCTCGGGATCCTGATCGCCAACCGTGCGTACCAGGCTGGCAGGCAGTCCGGAACTCGCCGTGTTCTGTTTGCGAGCTTTGCATGACTGAGATGTAAATATCCCTTTTTCATGTCATCTTGGTCAGGTGGCCTGAGTTCTACAAATCGCGGGAGATCATAGCTGAGGCAGCTGGGCAAGTGCATGAGCAACGATCAATATTTGCCTTTGATTGTTTTGTAGCAAAAGGGATCACTTGCGGCACACGCGCCACTAGGACATGGGGATGTTTGGGTGGCTTTTGAGTCACAAGATCCTGGAGCGTGTTTGCACGTCCGCCTTTGGGAACATTCCTCCGCAAGATTTTGCTCAAGACGGGCCTGGATCTTGCGACAAGGTTTAGACGCGCCTGAGCTGATGTCATGAAACTGACATGGTGAGGCTTCCAGCCTTTTGTTATGTTCCTTAATTGATCTGATATCAGAAGGGACCAAACGGGCACCTTGGCTCGTTTGCTCACTTGCTCCACCTTCTTCTGACATCCGAGGCAAAGATGGCGGAAGGCGGAGATGCACCTCAGCACATCCAGCTCAAGGCCGGGCGTGAGGGGTTGGTCGCACCTGGGTGGGTCAAAACGAATGGTACCATTTTGGGGTAGGTGCACCACTCATTTTAGAACCTATTTTAGTGGGGATTGGGATGTTCACTGGGGGTACAATTTGGATTTTGACCCATGGCCACCTTGGTTGCTGCAGGTGAAGGACCAGCAGGGGAGCGAGGTCCAATTCAAGCCCCTCGGCGCAGCAAGATGTTGGGATGCGGAGCTGGATGTCAAGGGTCGAGGGCAAGATGCTCAGTCCGGCATTGGTTCTTGAGGATCAAGAAGACCACCCCGCTGCGCAAGCTGTGTGGCGCCAAGTTTGTTGGTTTGTCAAGTATCCTGCGACGTTGGTTGCTTGCTTGGACCGTCGGCCTTGGCACGTTGACGGAGAATGCATACGTAGCACGTACCAGTAGGCTCTGCACGCTCGAATTGATGGATGGCCCTTGCCCCACCGCTGTGTTGGCTCAGTGATTTGCAGCATGTCGAGCTTTGGCCTTGTGCCTCTCGTTTGCACCCATTTGGCCGTGGGTGAAAACCAATGGTCCCATTTTGGGGTAGGTGCACCACCCATTTTAGAGCCTATTTTGGGGATTGAATCGGAGGGGGTACTGGGGGTTCCCTCGAAACGCGATCCGAGGGAAGGCGATGGCCGCGAGCTGAAGCCCATCCAGAAGGTCGGAGCCTCGGAGCCCAGGGCTTCGAGGGCTTCGAGGGGTTCGAGGGGTTCGAGCGGGGGCGCCGCAGCTCCCGCCGCTGCGAGTCGAGGACATGTCGTCATCTGACAGATCAGACGAAAGCGCCGCCTGGATTGCACACTGTCCCGGTTTTCCCAAGCCCAGAAGACAATCCAAGGAGGTGGACTCAGACGGATTCAGGGCTACTGTTGCTAAAACGGCTTCTTGGCTGCAAACATTTTGTGCGACATTTGTTGTCACCGCACTTGTTTTGACTTGGAATCCAGTTTTGCGATGCATTCTTTTTTGGCATTGAGAAAGGCCAAATCCTTCGTCGGCGGTCACACAGTTGCCACTCGTGCAGCACAGATTTACAAGCTGTTGGATGACCGAGCTCGGATGTGCCATTTTGAAGTAGTTTTCCATGATATAGAGTGCCGAACCGCTTTGAGGTCAAATGGGTGATTCCGTTTGTTCTCGTTGGCATCAGCTCCGTTGTTTGCATGTGGCTGCTCCACATTGCAACCTTCTACTATGTCAAGGGTATCATTCGGTTCGAGGCTGCGCTACCTGGCGTAACCCAAGAATGCATGTGCAGCAGAGAGTTATCTCACGATGTATATAACTGCATGTCGACACCGGAATGTTTTGCTTGCCAAACATGAATCGAACTTTTCTTGATTGGTTGAGGTTCAAGCCAGATCCTACCTACAAGGCGCACCATTGCCATAGTGAGAGACAGCACCCAGCTTGAGAATGTTCGAGGAAGATGCAGTGACCGCAAAGCTGTTCTCTCCTGGCTTGAGCGAGAAGGATGTGTCCTTCGGCTCACTTCAGGACCTCTGCTTCTTGAGATCATACCGGCTTGTTGGAAAAACACTTCTTCTTTTTTTTGACAGGATCCTCATGTCATGCCCCCGTCATGAATATCAGCTGGCTCACGTGTCAGGACCCGATTGAAGCGTGCCTGGCTTAGGAAGTTCTGGCCTCTGGCTGAGACCTTGGGACTCAGGCAGCTGGGCTTTCAGGATGTGCCCATCAAGGCGTGCCAAGTGGCTGTGGGTCAACACCTAACGGTACCATTTTGGGGTAGGTGCACCACCCATTTAAATTATTTTAGTGGGGATTGGGATGTTCACTGGGGGATAACCGGGGTTTTGACCCATGGCCAAGTGACAGCATCAGAAGCATTTTATTGTCCAGACCCCTTGAATTGTACGGGACGTCCAGTTGACGAAAACTCTCTTTCGAAGAAGATTTCGCGTGAGGCTCTGGATCTCATCGCCGCCGTCTTTCCCATGATCTGGGGGGTTACGGCAAAGCTCTCAGCACCTAGGTCTGATATTCGATGTGCTCACTGGCAGTTGCCTTAGGTGATTTATCTGCAAGATGTGCAAGCCTGGACGAAAGTCCTGTTGTGCCATTCGGAATCTCGGATGCAAGCTGGCGGTATTCGTGATTGAACAGCTCGCTTGCACGCTGCATGAGGTGCTGGCATTCGGCAAAGGAGTCTTTGGAGCAACCACAATTATTCCAGACAGTATTGGCTGGGCGAATTGCAAGGCCGACTTTTCATCGCATTCACAGCTTGCAGAGTCCCTGGCACATGTTAGCCTCTCAGCTTCACCGTCTTGCCAGAAACGGCTGGGACCAGAAGGGCTGCAGTACTTCGAAAGCGAGGCCGGACCGTAGCTTGAGCCAAAGGCCAAAGGCCGTTGCAGAACCAGCCAAAGGATTCCGCTGTTCTGGGGTTATTATTTCGCGGTTTCTGGGGGTTATCAAAGTCGGAAAATGGAATCGGTTGCTCCCCTTTAGCCCACCACTTAGGGGGTTACTTTGATCATGGTAAAATAATGAGGCCTGTTGTTCTTCACTTCAGCAGGTTCCGGAGCCGGCCAAGCACGGTCTGTGGGGGACTCAACGCCCAACCCGAAAGTCGCTGAAGCACGCCAGTGAATGCGAGGTGGGCGACCCTCATGGCCATCCTGGGCATTGAGCTCATGGGACCACATCAAGATCGGCCGGGACTTCAGTTCGGCTTTTGTGCTTTTGAGCCAATGGGTTGATGGGACGTTGTTCCAACACCTTCTTTGCCGTCCCAGGATTGGCGCAGGGATGCGCTTTTGTGCCGCAACTCGATGGGCAATAGCCTTGCATAGCTTGGCTCTGATTCAGCATTGCCGCTGCGACGCAAGCCCAGGACATGCTGTATTCAGGTCACACATATTTCACGATCCTGTACATTTTGGGGCTATGCGAGCTACTGCGCCTGGTCTCTTGCCTGCAGGGTGTTGATTTCTGCATGATTTGGAAGGGGCACGATTCGACATGGCATGTATGTCGTTGCGTCCTGGAATGGCACTCCATTCAGCGTAAATGTAACGTACATGTAACAAAAATGTAAGTTGATGTGACACAAATATAACGTGAATGAAGAAAAACAATGTAGCAAGCATACAAGGCACATGTAGTGTAAAGGCAAAGTTAATGTAATGCCACACAATGTCAGGACCAGGTAATGACATGTGATGCAATGACATGTAGAATAATGTAGTGCAATAGAATGTGTTTTTGGGGGCATGTACTTTTATCACAACATGTTTATTTCACGCCAATACCCAATGCGGTTTGGCTCAAGCTTTTCATCCGTCGACCGTTACTCGCCATTTCGTCGGGAAAACAGCACGGCGTGCCTCGACTCCGGCCTCGTGTTCGCGCGGCCGTCGTCCCTGGTGTGGTGTTCTTTATCCTGGAGGTGGGTCGGGTATTTGGTTGGGGTGCGCTGCTCTTGCTCGCTCTGCTCGCTTGGTGCTGCTTGCCGCTGGTTTGCTTGCTTGCTCTGCGCTGTGCTGCGCTTCTGCTTGGTTTATTCTTGTTACAAACGAGGCACCCCTTTTGGTTCGTGTTAGTGCCGGCCGGGGGCAACTGCTTTGCCCTTGGGACCGGGGGGATAAGGTGGTCTCTTCTTGTTGGTGGGTTAGGGCCTGTTTTATCCATCCCGAAACTCTGTTTCAAACCCTTTCGCAGGTTATCAGCCGCAGGATTCGTCCTCGGTTGGCACCGCGAACCCCTTTTAATAACAACCCTGCAGGTACCGTAGGTTTCTGTAGGTATCATGGCGGGAATCACTGAGGACGGACCTCATGTGGTGACCGATGAATGGGTTCTCGGCCAGGCCGGAATCTTGGACGTTGTGAATGACGACCAAGTGCCCGGACAGCCGATGTTTTCCGGTCCTGACTTTTTGTCGGACCACACTTTTTCAGACGCAATGCCTTCAGAGAGGTCCCGTGCTACTCGCACTGATGATCTGTCGTCTAATGCCTCAAGAGCTAATCGCTCTCAGGGTCATGGGACTAATCGTCCTGACCATGATGATTCCGTCTCAGGACGTGATGATGACGAGCCCGGTATTGCACCTGGAGCTCAATCCTCATCTTTCCCCGAGCTGATGAATATTGGTCAGTCCGAGGTTCGTGACTCCCGAGGCAGCAGTAGACCTGTGCCAACCAGTAACATAGCTTTTCAAGTGCTCGGTAATCCTGAACCTGGTACATCCAGTGGGGTTGCATTTGATGTTCATCTGCCAACCGAATCCGGCGGGCTAGATTGGAGAGCCTCATGGCCCAACGACGGAAACATTTTCGGCATGGATTTCGCCGCATGGATGCCAGGGCCACCCGCCCCGTCATCTTTCCCGCAATTCCAAAGCCCGAAACGGGCTGCTGGAAGCGATGAATTCATGCTACCCTTGTCGATTGAGAATCTCAATCCTGATGTAGCCAGCCGTAACGTCAGGCCAAGGCCGTCGGTAAACCCGACCATGAGGAACATGTCCCCTCCGCCAGGACTTTCAGGATTTGAGAGCCCTAGGGAGCGGAACATTGTAGACAGATTGGATTTGCATCCCAGTCCAACCCCGAGCAAGCGATCAAGGTCAAACTCGACTGCATCGCATAGGGCAAGGGGGATGGATCGGGAAACTGCCCACAGGGGAAACCCCAGTGCGCGGGACTCAGGACGCGGTCGATCAGATGACCCAGCGTCGATCATTGGTAGAGACCCGTTAAACGCGGACACGCTCGTTAACATGCTTGATGGGATCGAAGCATTCCAGGAGGAGTTTAATAGGTCAAGTGGCTCGAACGCACAAAGTGTTCGCCCTACGCCCAACGCGGCTTCCTTTTTCGCCCTGGACGACATGGACGGAGCTAATGTTGCACGGCCGTTGATGGCCGTGGGAACTCACTCCGATTAGGAGATTGGCTCTGGTATGGCGCAGATCTCCTAGCATCACGAACCGCCGAGGGTTGTGTCATGCCCAGGCCTTTGGCCACGGGCAGCTTAGGAACAACAGGCCTGTCAGTTCGCATAGGAACATCAGGTCTCGAGTCAGCAATAACAATGTCATTCAAATCAGTCGCATTGGACACTCTAGATTCAGACGGGACCATGGATCAAGGCATAGTCCAGTGGGTGAAGATCAGCCCAATGAGGTTGCTGATCTTGTCACGGCCCTTGAAAGAGGGAAAGTGGACTCTTCCGTAAGTGCAATCATTCATCGCCTGGTTGCTAAGGTCGAAGACCTTGGGCGTAGGAATGATAGAAGTGATCAATGCATCAGGCAACTAACCACTGAGGTCAGCTCGTGGAGAGCCAAGTACGACCAATGCGTCCATGTGAATAACACATGTACGCAGGCTGCAAATGCATCAATGCAGCTGTCGCAAGGGGCTAGGGATGTCGTGACCGAGCTTGGCCAACGAGTCAAGATCATTTCCGATCGTACGACTAGCTTAGGCGATGCCCTGAATGAACGGGCCAGCTATGACGACGTCGCTCGATCGATCGTCCAAGTCCAAACTGTTTTTGAGTCTCTTTCTGATCGAGTTGCCGAACTTGTTACTCGTGTTGAAACAATCGAGAGATCCCTCGTGGAGAGTCAATCCAATCATCCTGCGATTGGTGGTGTGAACCTCAAAATCGAGGACCTATCCGCCAGGATATGTAGTATCGACAGGATGATGCAAAGTGCCGAACAGTGTTGGCTTACCAACACGGAAGGCATAAAGTGGATCAAGGACCAACTCTGCGAAACGCAGACCAACTTAGAGGTCAAATCAAGGGACTGCAAGTCCTACACGGACAAGCAGAACACTCATAACATGGCTGTTTCGACTACGCTCAACAGCAAGCTTGAACAGATGCTCAACGTGCTAAATAGCACGGCCCAGAAAATTAACACTCTCGAATCAAAGTACTCGAGCCATGCGTCGAGTAGTGGATTGAATGATCACGCATGGGGTAGGCGTGCCACTTCCCGTAGTCCGGATAAGCGGCCACCTCCGCCTAGTCCTCCTGATAATGATCCTCCACCGCCACCTCCTCCTGATCGGCAAAGCCCGGGAGGAGGGGGGAAGAAGAGTGCTGCCGGTGGAAATCCTGGCAACGCTGGCGAACCCAGATGTAAATACACGGGTGATGGGCGCATCCACCTCGTTGCTGAATTTCATTGCAAAGGATGCAGAGGTGCGATTTGCGAGTGTTGTTTCTCGTTCAAAGAGGACCTATGTGAAGAATGCTCCCGCGACGGGCCCCGATGCGGTGTCTGCAGGGAGAGTTCGTTCTTGACCAAGGGAATTCACTGTCAATTTTGTAAGACCTACTACTGCACTAGGCATTCAGCTGGACAGGATGACTACAGGAGATTTGGAGTCGTCAAAGGACCCTGTTGTCTTGCGTGCCTTAGGGACGAAAGCAGGAGGAGAAGGGACCCCGATGCTACTCGGATCAGGAATAGGTCCCCTGGAGGCGCGCCTGAGACAAACCCTACGCGGTCGTACTCGCCGCCTCTGCGACCGCCTGTTGATTGGTCTCGTGATGTTCCTACTGAGGGTCAGCCCAATGCGGCAAGCTCTCAGGGCGCTCCAAGGCTGCGCCAGCTGCAGCCCTAGATAAGCGTGAAACCGGGTATTATCCAGGTTACGATCCTAATGGTGCAAGACCGAAGGATCCATCGGGCCTTGACCCGCCAGTCATGCGTGGGCATGATCCTCCCGAAAGGAATTGTCGTATGTGTAATCGGGACATTCCTGACCCTAGCAAGATTGAGGATTGTAGGGTATGCATGAAAAGGGCGTGCGACATTTGCATTCCAAAGGCTACTCGCCTTTGTCCTGTGTGTGCAATGTCAATCGGTAGTTCGCAGGTCCCACAGCACCTTTTCGGAACAGGTGGTGGCGGATACAGTAGCCATCAGGATCCGAACTGTACAGCTGCGACCAAATGCATGTCGCCAATATGAAGGAAGCTGTTAGCAATGCCTACAGCTATGATGGACTTTATGTCATCAATTGGCTAACCGAAGTTGAGAAGGCAAAGTCCTTTGAAGAATTGAATGGAGAGTGTAGGTATCACGTTCTTGAAGCCAGGTTCAATGCAGCCATTCGAAAGTGCATCAAGACTGTTGCAATTATGGATAAGATAAACCGTCTCACTGAGGCTGCTCAACGCGCCAACAACCGTATCAAGAGTAGGCAGATCTTGTGGCTCTTATACGACCACTTGAGGACTGCAAACATCGGAGAGCAATCATTTAGAATAATTGAGCTCTCGAACCTGCGGTGTAGCGTTTCGACTTTCTATGCAGAGGAGGAACGACTCGAGCGGTTCATCGCGAAATGGGACCACATTCTTGCGGGTCTCGATGAACCGTTGACAGGTGAAACGGTCGCTATTCAGTGAAAAGGTTAGACACCTCAACTGTTTAGCGCATGATATCAGGGAATGGGATAGGAACATATCCAATCCTGATGTTTGTAGCTATGAGTGGCTTCGCGCTCGTTGTAGGAACGAGATCGATCGCTGGAGAGTTCGTAGGAATCAAGTCAATATGCACAAGGATTTTTACGAGCGAACTCCGTCCAGGGACAGAGCCCAGAAACCTGGTGCTCCTGGCCCTCCTGTCAGGAGGCGGTCGCCATTTGGAGATTCTCACAGGCCTAGTCGGCCTCATAGTGATCAGAGAAAGAAGACCGGATACCCCGAGTCCGCATCAGAGAGATAGATACTCCCCGAGGAATCGGGATCAGGGCAAAAGGAGGCCTAGGTCTACGTCACCCGGTGCTCCAGCAATCGATGCATGTAGAGATTTCGCACGTGGGTGTTGCTCGCGTGGACAAGAGTGCAAATTCGCACACACTAGGGCTGGAAGTTCCGATGCCAAACGCAAAGAACGTCCTCCCCTAATTCCGGGGTATTGTGCCCAATGGA